TTTGGCCAATGCCCTGCTGGGGGCGCGTAGGGTCCCGGCTGGGTGGGGCAGCATGTGCTGATAACCTCTCTCTCTCCTTCTCTAGGGTGTTCCCAGCTCTGCCCTGCGGGAGATCTGCCTGCTCAAGGAGCTGAAACACAAGAACATCGTCAGGCAAGGACATTCCTTGGGCCAGGCAGGCCAGGCGGCTCCGGATGGGGCTGGGGTTGGATCTGGACACGTGGAGCTCCTGGGTGCTGTGTGGCATTGTCCCCCCTCCGCTCTCCTCTCCATGAGTCCCATATGAGCTGTGGGGAGCTGCTCAGGGCTGGGGGATGGGACAGTGTTTGTCCCTTTCACAGCAGGGCTGCCACTGGGGTGACCTGCTTGTTTTCCACCCCGGCCCTCGGGCCCCTGAGGCAAACGGCCGGGGGCCAGTGCTGGATACACCCCCCGGGGGGGGGCATGCTCTTGGCACTGGGGCTGGCAGGAGGCCCCGTTTGCTGTTGAAGGGCCCGTGGGTTCCTGCTGGGGGCGCTCACTGGGTTTTCCCTGCATTGCAGGCTGCACGATGTCCTGCACAGTGACAAGAAGCTGACGCTGGTGTTTGAGTTCTGTGACCAGGTGAGCTGGGGAGGGGGAGCCCACAAGGCACTGAAGGCCCTGGGGGTCCGTATGCTCCCCTGCCTCCAGGAGGGAAATGGGGAGCCCGGGGTGAATTCCACTGTCATCCCTGAGGGGGAGCGAAGTTGTCCGGGTGCCCCTGAGCTCCCCAGCTCCCCTCTGACCCAGGCGTCCCTCTTTTCCTGCTAGGACCTGAAGAAATACTTTGACAGCTGCAATGGGGACCTGGACCCTGAGAATGTCAAGGTGGGTTTGCAGGGCTGGGCTATGATGGGGCCTCACAGGGGGGCGGGGAGTCAGTCACCGCGCCCAGCTCAGTGGCCCCCATGAGCAGCCCCTTTCCAAGGGTGGTTCTGAGTTGGCAGCTCCCCAGGCTCACAGCATCACAAGCTGCTGCTCCCAGACAGTGGGTCTTGGTTCCCTTTGGCCTGGCGGGGAGAATTCCCTGTCCTGGCTGGGGCACGGGTAGGGCTGGGTTCCAACTGCAGCGTGCTCAGCGCTGCCCTCTCTTTCAGTCCTTCATGTACCAGCTGCTGAAGGGCCTGGCCTTCTGCCACAGCCGTAACGTGCTGCACAGAGACCTCAAACCCCAGAACCTGCTGATCAACAGAGTGAGTGCCCCACGCAGGCCAAACGGGGGGGCCATTGCTGCTGCTGGGCTGGCGTGTGGGGCATTGCCAGGGCTGGCGGGATCCCAGGGCTGGGCTGGCAGGGGCTGAGGGTCGAGATTGAGTGGGGGCCCAGGGCAGGGCTGGCAGGGGCCCAGGGCAGGGCTGGCAGGGGCTGAGGGTTGGGATTGAGGGGGGCCCAGGGCAGGGCTGGCAGGGGCTGCTCGTTGTGTCCTCTCACCCGCTCCTCTCGGGGCTCTAGTCTCTGCCTTCTGAGCACAGAGCAGGAGCTTCGCTGCTGCTCTGGCTCTGGGTGGCAGCCGCAGTTCCTGGCGGGCGGCGTGCTCTGCAGGGCTGATTCGCAATGGCTGGTTCATCTCCTTCTCTCGGCAGAACGGGGAGCTCAAACTGGCCGACTTTGGCTTGGCTCGGGCCTTCGGGATCCCTGTGCGCTGTTATTCGGCAGAGGTGAGCGGTCGGGGACGTCGTGGGGGCCCCTTCCGCAAGTCGGCTGGTGTGTGCGGCTGTTCTGCAGGGGACTCGCCCCTAGTGCTGTGCTGTGAAAGGAGAGCACGGCCCCCCCCCCCCACCCGGCACCACGCTGGGGCAGTGGGGCCAGCACTCTCTGCGAGGGGAGAGTGCCCCCTGCTGAGCCCACCTAGAGCTGCACTGATGTCCGGGGGGCAGCGCTGATGGTGGGAGAGCACCCGGTAGTGGTGGTTCATGGGGATGGGCTGTTCCCATCCTCTCTTCCCTGCTTAGCCGGTGCCTCTGCTTGGATCACACGGCAGCTGGGGCAAAGCTAGGAAGCTGCTGCTGGCTCTGGGGGGTGTTGGCCAGCCCCATTCGCTGCAGGGGGGACGGGTCAGCAACCATGGCGGGGTGCTACAACAGCCATGGAAGGGGGCTATGGGAGGAGGGGGAAGCCACCCAGTGGCCCGCCCAGCTGCCCAGAGCTTGGGGCCAGATGTGGTCCTCAGGCCGGCAGCTCGGCTGCGCCTCCCGCGGGCTGTTCTCGGGCAGTGGGGGTCTGACCGCCTGTCTCCACCCCCTGCAGGTTGTCACGCTGTGGTACCGTCCCCCTGATGTGCTGTTTGGTGCCAAGCTCTACTCCACCTCCATAGACATGTGGTCAGCGGGCTGCATCTTTGCAGGTATGCGGTGCCCGGCTCCCCGCTGTGGAGGGGCTGTGCTCCGAGCGCAGGGGGGCGGTGTCTGCAGGGCTTCCTGGGCTCAGCCCTGTCTCTCTCCCCGCAGAGCTGGCCAATGCTGGGCGGCCTCTGTTCCCGGGGAACGACGTGGACGACCAGCTGAAGAGGATTTTCCGATATCCTTTTTAACCTGGTGTTTGGGAGGATTTGTTTAGCAAGGGGAGGGAAGAACAAAAGGCCCAGGCAGGAGGACAGCCTGGGTTTCCTGCCCCCCTTCGGGTGGGAGGAGCATGTGGCTCCCAGAGGGGATGGCCTCCCCCTGCCCGAAGGAGCCCTGTGGGGGGTGGTAGGATGTGCCTTGGGCAGGGCCTGGCTCTGCCTGTGGGCCGGAGCTGAGGTGCTCCCCTCCCCTCCCCCAGTTGGCTGTCTGGGGTCTGTGGGGGCAGAGATGGTCCTTAACCCACCCCAAGTTGCTGGGAACCCCAACTGAAGAGCAGTGGCCGGCCATGACCAAGCTCCCAGACTACAAGGTGAGTCCCAGGCTGGGGATCGGCGCCCAGGGCCTGGCCCATAGAGGGGGCCGCTCTGGGGCCCGCCCTGTTCTCGGGGGCAGGGGGCATGGAGCTGCCCCCTCCAGCCACAAGCTGCAGCTCTTGGGTCCATGTCAGTGGGAGCCACAAACGACGTGTGACAGGTGTGAGCCCGGCACAACGGGCAGGCCCCGGGTCCGCTGGAGACGAGAGTATGTAGGGGCTGGCTGGGCTCTCGGAGCATCAGGGCCAGGGAGGGAGCAGCTGCCAGGCCCAGTCTGGGAGTTAGTGCCTGGGGGGGGCGGCAGGCTTAGTGTCTGGAGGGGGAAAGGGAGGCGGGCTGGCCCTGTCTCCTGGGGGGGATGAGTGCTGGGTCGAGGTTAGTGGGCAGGTGGGGGCAGGTTGGCCTGTCTCCGGGGGGAGGTGGGGCTTGGCCTGTCTTCGGGGGGGGGATTAGTGCTGGGGGGTGTCCTAGCTGTCTCCCTCTCTCCCCTCAGCCGTACCCCATGTACCCTGCAACAACGTCGCTGCTCAACGTGGTGCCCAAACTCAATGCCACAGGTCGGGACCTGCTCCAGGTGAGTGCCCTGCTGCCCTGGGCTGAGCAGGTGCTGTGGACCCAGCCCCAGGAAGGGGGGGACTGCTGGGGTCCTGTGACTGACCATGACGGTTTTGGGGCACCTTGGCCCAGGCCCTTCATCTACGTACCGCTGACAGCCCCCCTCTGTGTTCCCCGTGGGTGGGGGCAGCAGCTGGGCATCCAGGTAGCTTCTCTGCCTCTCCTCGCCCTCCCCTGTGGGGCTACCCCAGACAGCCCCCTCCCCAGGGTGGGGAATGGGCTTCTGACCCTCCCCCAGCTCCAGGGGTGGGGGGCGCCTAGCCCCATTGCCCATCCCCCGCCCCCTCCTCACCCAGCCCCTCTCCTACCTCCACAGAACCTGCTGAAGTGCAACCCGGTGCAGCGGATCTCGGCCGAGGAGGCGCTGCAGCATTCCTACTTCACCGACTTCTGCCTCCCGTAGAGACGCCCGGAGCCGGGCCTGCCGGCCAGCCTCCCCCCTGCTCCACCGGCGTGTGGGGGAGGGGATGTCCCGGAGCCGGGCCTGCCGGCCAGCCTCCCCCCTGCTCCCCTTGCGTGGGGGGGAGGGATGTCCCGGGGCCAGGGCACTGGGTGATGGGCAGGGCCCTGTGTCCCACCTCCTCCCCCAAGATATTTATTAGGTTTTTAACCCATTGCAGCGCCTGGTTTTCTACCAGTCTCTGCTGGGACCCCATGGACAGGAGCCAGCCCCCTCCCTGCCCTGCTGCGAGTGCTCATCGCCCCGGTACCCTGCAGCGTCACCGGCCTCCCACGGGACAGGGACGGCCCTGGGGTTCCAGCGGGGCACAGGAAAGGGGGGAGCCACTGCTGTCGCCTCCTTTGCCGGGGATCCAGGGGCAAGAGACGGCTCCTGCTTGGCTGGCATGGGACGTGGTGCCCCCGGCGCAGGCTGCCCCTTCTTGCCATGGCCCCTGCTGGGCCCTGGGTGGGGCCCCCCTCCAGCTGGGACTCCTTGGGGGGCCGGGCAGCTTCCCTCCCTCTCGTACCGTGCTCCTGTGTGGCTGATGGTGTATGTTTAATTTCATAAACTGTTCCCCTCCCCCAGCCCGCGTCCTGCGCTCTTGTCCCTTCCGTGGTGGGCGGGGAGGGTTGCTGGGGCCGCCCCGGGCATTACCCTCAGCCTGGGCCAGTCCTGTGGGTCAGGATGCTGACGCGCCTGCCCTGCTGTTCGTGGGAGGGGCAGCGAGTCTGGGGGGTTGTGGCTGAAAGGTGGGGGGCTGCTGCTACACCAGGGCCCTGCAGGGCCTGGGGAGAGCCTGGCTGTGGTGACGACGGGGTGTCGGCTCCGGGGTCCTGCGGGGTGAGTGGAGCATGGCGATGGGGCAGCCGCCCCCCCCCCCAACACACACCAGGTGGCAGCCCGTGGGCTGCTAGCAGAGAGCTGGACGTGCCCCTTCACTGCAGGCCCAGCCTAGCACCCTCCCCTCGAGCCCCATGTGGGCCCTGCAGGGCCCCCCAGGCCTGTCCAGCCCTGCCTCCCCCCCAACGACGCGCAGCTGCTTAGAGCCCTTTCAGCCTGGAACTGACCAAGCAGAGATGGGAAGTTGGAACCACCAGGCGGGTTTTTAATGATACACAGGATCCGCGCTAGGCTGGAGAGGTGCAAGCTGCAGCTGTCTCTATGCTGGGGGGGCACAGGTGTGGGGGAGCAGGGCAGGGGGCACAGATGGGCAAGGGGGGTGCTTCAAGCAGCTCATGCAGATATGTGGCCAGCGGGCCTGTCAGACAGGGTCACCAACACAACGGGCCTGGTTAGTCCTTGGGGCCTCCCAGTCTCCATGTGCCCCAGCAGAGGGGCCCCAGGCCACCCCCTGCCTCTCGCCGTTGCAGGGCCCAGGAAGACCAGGAGTGCAAGCCCTGCCCAGCCCCAGGGGTCAGCCGTCCTGAGTGAGTTGTGAGGGTGCTGGTGCCCCAGGGCGGGGGAGCCCTGGGGGCGGTGCCCCGGGGAGGGGCTGCAGGCAGCGGGAGGCTATGCCAAGCTCAGTGCTGGGGTAGAGGCTCCCTGGGGAGGGGAGAGCTGGCTCCGCTCTCTGTGCCTTGGCAGGGACGTTGGGCAGCAGCCAGACACCCTGGCTTGTCGGAGGTGCTGCCTCCCATCCCTGGGGCAGCTGGCGTGATCCTGGCCAGGCCAGGGCACTCCAGTGCTGGGGTCAGCACCCCCCTGCCTGCAGAGGGGCTGACCCCTGGGGATCCCAATCCCCCCCCCCACGGGGCAGGGGGGAAACCAGAGCATAAGTTCCCCGGGCGGGGGCCATGCACGGAGCCACAGCTTGCCCCAGGCCCCACTGAGCCCAGTGTGGGCAAACCCAGGACTGCACCACTGCTGATGTCCCCTTCCCAGGGGCTGCCCTGGTGCCCTCTCCACTGCCAAGCCGCGGCTGCCTGGCCGGAGCAGCTCGGGTCTTGCTGGAGGCGAGAGGCCGGTGGGCTGGGTCTGCAAGGCGCAGCCGCCCCCTCAGCAGGCAAACTCCTCGAAGTTGCCGAGAGCTGGGTGCCGAGGTAGCATGTTCGGGGTGTAGCCGAGACTGTCCGAGTGGCTCCGCAGTGTGTTACAGGTGCTCTGGGGAGGAACAGGGGGTGAGAAGCAGGCAGTGTCTCCGCCCACCCCCTCCCAGATCCCTGCCCTGCTGCCCCTACAGCCGTGGTCTGCCTCCCCTCCCCTACCCACGTTCCTGGGTCCCTGGCTGGGGCTGGCTGCTGGTGCCATGACCCTCCTGGCATGCTCTGATGCCAGGGCCGTGCCAGGCTCCCCCGGTTCTGGACCGGGAGGGTCTGTGGGAGCCACATGCAATTGGCCTAGGCTGTGTCTGTAACATGGCGTCGCTGATGGCACAGGACGCGGAGGGTGCTAGTAAAACGTGCTGATGAGACGGGCGGGGCAGTCAGCCGGGCACTGGAGGAGCCCCAGGCAGAGAAAGAGCAGGGGGAAGAGGGGCAGCGGGGGCTGCTGGGCCGAGCAGCCGGGGGCTTTTGGGGGTCGAGCGGTGAGGGCAGGAGGGTGCTGGGCGGAGCAGCTGGGGGCTCGGGGGGCTGTTGGGCTGAGCGGTGGGGGCAGCTTGGGGGCTGCTGGGCTGAGCGGTGGGGGCAGGAGGGTGCTGGGCGGAGCTCGGGGCAGCTGGTGTGAGGGTGGAGTGGATCAGGTTGCGAGGGGGGATGATGGGTCGGGATTGCCCGCACTAGCAGGGATCTGGCCTCAGTGCCAGGAGGTCACTCCCCAGCCTGCATTCCTGTGGCTCTTGCAGGAGTGGTGTTGTCCCTACGCTTGCCTGACAGCCGCAGGCCCCCTGAGCGGTGCCAGCACTGGGGAATGGCTCCACCAAAGGGCCAGCTCCAGCTGCCACAGTCCCAGGTCCTGCCCTGCCTGCGGGGTGACAGCCTGGGCAGGGACCACTTGGCCTCCCACAGAGCCCAGGGCAGGGCCCTGCCCCCAGGACTCCTGCATCCGGCCCCACCAGCTGAGGTAGAGCGGGGCTGTGGGAGACACGCCCGGCCCGGAGTCACTGACCCTGCGTGACAGAGACACACACACACACACCCCCGGTCAGTCGTTCCAATGGGGGCGACCCTCCACGGGGAAAATCGGCTCCTTATTCCCAGCCGGGACGGGGCCGGTTCAGCTCCAGCCAGTGGCTCTCGTCCAGGCCCTGCCGGCCGGAGCCCCCCCGCCCCCTGCCCAGACCGGGCTCCGGGCACCTGCAGCCCGCGCTCACGGCACCGCTGACCCCTCCCCTGCACAGACTAAGGCAGCTTAACCTATGCGGCAGGGTCTGCAGAGCTCGACTCCTCACTGGCTCTTTTCTGAGCTCTGCCACTTGGTCAATCCCGGTTCTGAGGAGCAGGTGCCAGTGCCGGCAGCAGCCCGGGATGGCTCCGGAACAGGGGCTGAATCACCGCGCTCCTCCTTCGCCTCCGGGCAGCCCAGCTGGGTGGGGTCCACCCTGGTCCCAGGCCCCTTTTCCAACGCCCAGCCCCCACGCTGTGCCTGTGAAAAGCCCTGCTGCTCCCTAGCAGCGAGCTGACCTAAACCCTCCGTCCCTTTGGCAGGCGTGAGCCCAGCCAGCTCTCCCAGGCAGAGATCCCAGGCCGGAGCTGAAGGCAAAGCCAAGCCCTCCCAAGAGCTGCAGTGCCCAGAACCCGGCACTCAGCCCCAGTCGCTCGGGCTCCCGCCTGGCCCTGGCGCCGTGGAACCCGCAGAGGTAGCTGGGATATGCTGCACTTAGGGGTCTGGGTTTAGCTGCACCCACAGAACTAATGAACTCACGGGTGCAAAGGGGCACACACACTACCCCAGTGGACCACAGCAGGTGAGTATGGGGGGGCTCACTCTCCTGCACTCCCAGGACCCCCCTGCCGCACTGGGGCAGGATGAGGGGGTGGGGCTAGGTGGAGGGTGCTGCTGTGGGTGGTCAGGCCACCGACTGAATCAGGAGGAACATTGGGGAGCCTGCCCCCCGCTGCCGGGGACGAGGGACCCTGCTCCGTGCTCGCTCACGGCTGGCTGTGGCAGGGTGCACCATGCACGAGAGGGGCCTGGCATAGTGGCTCGTCCAGGTGCCGCAACCTGGCAGTCAGTGCCCGCAGCCCAGTGCCGCCGCCTTGCGTGGGCACAGCCCTGCCCCCCCATCCGCGCGGACACTGCAACATCACCTCAGCTAGACCAGTTGTGACAAACTAGCAATGTTCTTAATGTTTTCTCTGAATACTGTGTGGGTGCCTCAGTTTCCCCTATGCATTTCTTAAGTATCTAGGTGGTGGGATCAGGGGGTGTGGTTGCTGCAGAGCAAAGGGCCAGTGCACCTAAATGCCCGACACTCTGTCTCCTGGCAACTGATGGCCTGGGCCCCTCCTCTGCAAAGGTGCCAACTGAAGGTTTTGGAGACAAAGAGATCAGGTGACCACCTGGCCCGGGAAAGAGACAAAGGCCAGAAAGGAGGGGCTGGAGGGGGTTTCAGTTTGGAGCTGGCTGAGGACTAGGAGTGAGGGCAGACGTGGGTGTCTGGCTCTCTGAACCCCAGAATGGACCCGGCCGAGGGGTCCCATTCGCCGCTGTACCTACAAGCTCTGGTTTAGACCACGTTCCTGTCATCTAATAAACCTCTGTGTTACTGGCTGGCTGAGAGTCACGTCTGACTGCGAAGTGGGGGGGCAGGACCCTGTGGCTTCCCCAGGACCCGGCCTGGGCGGACTTGCTGTGGGAAGCGCACGGAGGGGCATATGCTGAATGCTCCAAGGAGAGACCCAGGAGGTGAAGCCGTGTGAGCTTCTTGCCCTGAAGACAGTCTGCTCCAAGGGAGAGGAGGCTCCCCAAAGTCCTGACTGGCTTTGTGGGGAGCAGTTCCAGAGCATCGCCCGGGGACTCCATGACAGTCGGGCATTTAGGTGCACTGGCCCTTTGCTCTGCAGCAACCATACGCCCTGATCCCACCATCTAGATACTTAAGAACTGCATAGGGGAAACTGAAGCACCCACCCAGTATTCAGAGAAAACATTAAGAACATTCCCAGTTCGTCACACCAGTCGTTTTCAAACTTGTTTTCTGGTGACCCAGTTGAAAATTGTTGATGCCCGTGACCTAACAGAGCTGGGGTGTGGGGGGCTCTGGGCTGGGGCAGAGGGTTGGGGTGCAGGGGGTGAGGGCTGTGGGGTGGGGCCAGGAATGAGGGGTTCAGCATGTAGGAGGGGCTCTGGGTTGGGGCACAGGAGGGGGTCAGGACTCTGGGCTGGGGGTGAGGGATTTGGGGTGCAGGAGGGAGCTCTGGGTTGGGGGTCAGTGGTGCAGCGGGGGTGCTAAGGCCGTCTTCCTGCCTGTCCTGGCACCATGGACTGCGCTGCGCCTCAGAAGCGGCCAGAAGCAGCTCCGGCTCCTAGGCGGACACACGCAAGCAGCTCCTCGCGGCTTTTGCCTGCAGGCATCCCCCCCCCCCCCCCCATTGGCCAGGAACCGGAGCCAATGCTCGGGGCGGGGGCAGCACGTGGAGCCCCGTGCCCCCCCCCTTGGAGCCGGACCTGCTGCTGGCCGCTCCCGGGGCGCAGCGCGGTGTTGGACCAGCCTGCCTTATCCGGGCAGCACCACCAACGGGACTTTAATGGCCCGGTCGGCGGTGCTCACCAGAGCCGCCGCGACCCAGTCCTGGGTCACCACCCGCAGTTTGAGACCCACTGGATTAGAGGAAGGGGGGCAGGGCCACCGGGTGCTAACGTGCCCCAGGCTGGCTGGGGGGTTCTCCCGGGTGGCGCTGAATCCGGCGTCACCAGCAGGTGCTGCGGCAGGGCCAGGACCAGCCCCGGGAGTGTCCCAGCCCGCGCGGAGGGGCCCCGGGGAGCTGAGTGAGCCGCGAGCAGGCAGGCTGGGAAGGAATCTGCGCGGGGAGCTTTGCTGGTGCTGGGGGGGGCGTCCTGCTCCCCACGCCGCCCCCCACGCAATGGCAGCAGCAGAGGGGGGGAGGCCAACACCCCAGCTGAGCAGGAGCGGCAGCGGCTCCCTGGGGCTCTTGGGCACATGGCAAAGCCGCAGGCTCCAGCCCGGCATGTCCCCGGGGCACTGGAGGGTCTGTCCTGCTGCCCGCTTGCAGGACGGAAGGGCCCTGGGCCAGCCCCTGGCTTGGGGCAGGAGCAGGGAAGTAGGTGACGGAGCGCTCAGCCCTCCGGCCTGCAGGGACCCACTGCCCCCAGCGCCTGCAGGAACGGGCTGGGGGTGGCTCTGCTGGCACCTGGGCACGACCCCCAGCCAGGAGGTCCCCACCCCACCAGCGCAGCCTGCTGAGCTCACAGGTGAGGGCAGGTCACGCAGCGCCGTGGCAGGGACTGGTGCTGGAGCTGTTCTGATTCACCTCCGGCCGCTCGGGCCCCCCAGCCAAGGGGGCTGCCCCCACCCCCAGCACCCTAGCGGGAGGTCCCTGAGAGCAGTCTGCTGCTGCGCTGCCCCCGGCTCTGTCGGGGGCTCCCACGTGCTGGGCTCCAGCGGGCAAAGGGCCTGGCCAGTCATGCGTGTCAATGGGGCGGGAGGGAGCGGGAGGCCAGGGCTCTCGGGGTGCTCCTGGCACAGCCGCGGGGCAGACAGACAGACATAGGGGGGACGATGAGGCGAGGGACAGCCTGGAATGCAGAGGGGGCTGGCACAGGGGGGCAAGGCATGGGGGTGACAATGGGGTGACACAGACCCTCCCCTTGAGCAGACAGGCCAGACAGAGAGGAGCCAGAAACCCCCTGGGCTGCCCCAAAGGTCCCCCCCTCCCCCCGGGTGGGAGCCAGTTGCCCCTGCTCTGGCCCTTCCAGACCCACGCCCCCTCCCACCCCGGCTCACCATCTTGCGTGTGTCTGGGAAGGGGCTGCCCCTTCCCCTGCCTGGGCGCCAGTCCCTCGGGGCAGTCCTGTGCTGAGACACGATGCGGCGGGGGAGCCCTGGGACAGGGGGAGATGCTCTGTGCCCCATGGCGGGGCTGGCACCTCCCCTCCCCCATGGATTGTCTGAGACAGCAGCAGCCCCACCCCACAGCCTGGAGCAGCCCCAGTGGTGCTGGGCCGGGGTGTTCTGGGGGGACGGGGCAAGCTCAAGGGCCCCTCCCCTGGCCACGCGGTTCTGGGGGGATGGGGGTGTGACGAAGTGGGGGATTTTCTTGTTTTCTATGGTTTTCCAATGGTTGCATGCAGAGGGGGTGGGACTCAGTGCCCCTGGGTGTTGCTGGTTTAACGAGGTGAGGGGAGAGGGAGTGTGTTTTGCCGAGGACCGGAGAGGGAACTTGGGACCCCAGCCAATGGCCTGGAGGACGGATACCCCAGCGACTGGTGACCTGACGACCGGGAGGCCCAGCTCGGGAGTCACAGCTGGTTCTGGCCAGTGGGGGGACAATGGGCTGCGGGGAGAGGGGACCCCAGTGACCGGACCAGCCGGTTCCAGCCAGAGGGGCCAGAGGACATAAGCGAGGAGAGGAGGCCCAGGCGACCCTGTTTCCCTGGAGAGAAGACAATGGACAGAGGCGGGGCCTGGGGCCGGGGGTATCAGATGCCCAGCGGGGAAGCAGGGGGGCTCGGGGCTGGAGAGGGGGAGCAGGCAGAGCCCACCTGGATGCAGAGAGACTGGGATGTGCTGGCCTGAGGGAGGCCAGGCCTGAGGCCCGGAGAGTTTCCTGTGCTGGGTTCAACGCTCAATAACCCTCCTGTGTTACACTGGCTGAGAGTCACTCCGGTCTAGAGAACAGGGGGGCATCAACCCCTTCGGGGGGTGGAGGCCCAGGGGGTCCAGAGTGAGGGGACTCCCCGAGGGGGCCCACGGCAGAGACAGGTGTGCTAGGGCTCCAAGAGGTGCGGCTCCCTGACCCCGGGAGAGAGTGGACCCCCGAGAAGGGCTGTCGCACTGAAAAGGGCACCCCCCACGGACCGCACGTGGCCAAGAGTGGGCACGACCTGTGAGTCCGTGACAGGGAGAAGCTCAGGGGCCCCTCCCCTGGCCGGGCGCCCGGGGGCTGGTTACCAGGTTGTCGCTGTTACTCCTCTGGGGTCTCTTCTTGTTCTTGTAAAAGCTGAGGAGTTTGTCCCGAAACACCTGCAGGGCAGATAACTGGGTCGTCACCAATGCGGGGGGGAGGGCAGGAGGGCTCTGCAGTGACCTCTCGGGGGGTCCCCATTGTACTTCCCCTGCTCGCTGTGCCTCCCTGGGAGAGTCCAGGGGGCTGGCACTAACCTGGGTGGCGGGAGCCCCGGTTTGAAGTCCCAGTTCACCGTGTGGGGCTCTGGGCAGCCCCATGGGGGCACAGCCCGGCCCTGCTTCTCAGGGGCGGGGAAATGCATGAAGGGGTGAGCCGTGCCCGATGCTGCAGTGAGGGGCAGAGCTGGGCCATGGACACCCCTGTGACCAAGTGGGAATTGTTCGTAATATTTAATCATGCCTGTGTGGGCCTCAGTTTCCCCTACATGCTGCATTGTTACCTGTCGGTGGGGGGAAGGCATGGTGGGGGGGAGGGGCGTGGGGAGAGGTTGGGGGCACATGCACTGGGGGCTGTGGCTGTCGTCGGCATTGAAGCTGAACTAGTCTCAGGAGCGTTGTCGAGGGGGAAGGCTCGGGGGGCACCAAGAGCCCCCTGCCCACCGCTGCTCGGCCCCACAGCCTCACCTCATACAGGTAGTCGAAGATCTCCAGGATGGTGAGGATGCTGGCCCCGATGAACAGCCCCATCTGGCCCCCGATGTCCCCTGGGGGCAGGGGCAGAGTGTGAGTGGGCAGCCGGGCCACGCCCACCCAATGCTGCTCCTGCAGCGTGGCCATGACAGGCGGGGGCCACCCCACCCACGCCCACGCAGAGCCAGGAGGGGGCACTGCTCCCCCCTGGCCGCAGGATTCCAGGTCCTCTGGGGCACCCTGCCCCACTGCGAGTGCTCCCCCAGCTCCCCGGGCAATCACCAGCCCCCCCGGGCACTCCCCCAGCAGCCCCCGGGCACTCCCCCAGCAGCCCCCCCAGGCCCTTACCCAGCCCCCCCGGGCACTCCCCCAGCACCCCCAGGCACTCCCCCAGCAGCCCCCCCAGGCCCTTACCCAGCCCCCCCAGGCACTCCCCCAGCCCCCCGTACACTCCCCCAGTCCCCCCAGGCCATCACCCAGCCCTCCCGTGCACTCCCCCAGCAGCCCCCGGGCACTCCCCCAGTCCCCCCAGGCCATCCCCCAGCCCCCCTGGGCACTCACCCAGCCCTCCCGGGCACTCCCCCAGCAGCCCCCAGGCACTCCCCCAGCCCCCCGGGCACTCCCCCAGTCCCCCCAGGCCATCCCCCAGCCCCCCTGGGCACTCACCCAGCCCTCCCGGGCACTCC